ATAGACAGATAGATAGATAGATAGATAGATATTAAAACAATTAGTTATAAAATGTTAAAAACACCTTAATACACACAAAAGAACTATAACAATAATAATATGCAGTATTCCAAAATAACAACTCTTCATCAACAAATTCAGTTGTTAAAAACCTATCTAAAAAGGAAGGTCTTTGCTTGTCTCCACAAGAACAGGAAGAAAAGCATTTCAGAACCTGTGAGCAAACAGTGAAAGCACCTCTCTTGCATCCTCACCAGATGTTGGACTGAGAGCCTCTATGAAGATCTTAAGGATTAGGGAAGCTCATATAGAAGGACACAACCCTTTAGATTTCTTGGACTCAAGGGCTTTACAAGTTATAACCAGCACTCTGAATTGGGCTCACAGAATCAAAGTGCTGTGTTAGAAAAGCCATGAAGCTCCTTCTAGTACAGGAGTTCCATGCTCCTAGCTCCAGTCATCAGTCTAGCTGCAGCATTTTGGACCACCTGACATTTCAAAACACTCTTCAAAGGCCCGAATAGAGCACATTACTAGAAACTGGATATTCGTCTCCTGGGGGGAGACAAATACGAATACTGCCATGACAGGAGGCTGGGACCTTTCAACCCTCCCCCAACCCCAGCCAAGTGGGTCATCTTCAGCTCATGTACTAGCTTTTACTGTGCAAATGCAGTCCTGGCCACAACCAAATCCTGGCCATCCAAGTTCAGGGAGCAGGTGCAAATTTGAGTTTTCAGCAGTTGTAACCCCATTCAGCACAGGTTGGATCCAGGCAAACTCTCCCAACTGTTTCACATAAGATCATGTTTAACACCTTAACCCAGTGGGTAAGGTGTTAAACAGAAGTCTCCCAGCACCACCTCCTGAGCTTTACCCTCCAGGAAAGACCAGAGTCACTGGAAAATAGTGCCTCCAACTTCCATCCCAGCAGGACACCAATGATATATGGTACAGAATGGTACAGCAAAACCACTTAGATCCAACAGAAAACAGGGACTCACTCTATTCAGTTCCCAATGCAGGTCATCCAACAAGATGATCAAATCCATCTCTGTCTCATAACCAGGTGAGTTACTGTATTGAGACTTTAAGTGCCAGTTAATGGGAAAGGGGTGGACTAGAGAACTTGTAGCTATACTCCTTTGTGAGTCTCTGTCCTTCTACTGCATAGCAAAAAGGAATTTTACCAGAATTTCCAAATTCTGCAACAGGTTATGGGCCCAGAAACCAGAGAAACAGACAACTATCAAGTATTTTGGAGGCTTTGTTGTTTTTCAAAGTGTTTGCAGCTTTTTTCTTCTTTCTCCTCCCCCCCCCCCCGGCAACATTTTAAACCAAAAACACCTCATAACTAGCAGAAGAGAAAGAATTGTTTCATTTTCTGAGATTCCTAACCAAACTTGCTTAGAATCAAACAGAGGAAAATTGGCTATTGCTCACAGCAAGACATTTTTGGGAACCTTTCATCTCTGAATTCTATCAATGGAAAAAGAGGCTGCAATTTAACCTCAGCACTTTAAAGGTGCATAATTATTAATAAAGACGAAGACCAAGAGAAGCACAGGCCAAAGCTAAATGGGAAGGTGGGTATTCTACAGGAAAAGCAATAATTTCACAAAGCCTTTCAGGTAAACATTATCTTATATCCTAAGTTCTTAACCTGTGGTCTGCGGTTCCCCAGGGGTCCTCTCAAGGGGTTAATGAAGGCTTGAAGAAATTGTATGATCTTTTGCAGTTAAAATAGAAAGAAAGAATAACTGAATGAATTAAAGCAAGCAAGTAAATGAAATGTAGAACAAAATACTAATTTTCCTTGCTTGTTTGTGTAAAACTTGGCTTTTCTAACCTACCGCCTTGATTAAAAACAAACAAAAGTAAAAATTGATTATGAAGATAACTGTTTGATAGCAAATAACTGTCTGGTATTTCCGCACATAGTGAGAACATACACGTGAATAACGCTGAGTTGCTGAGAAAAAGCACATGGCATTTCTTTCATAATGACATACTTGTGCAGAAAATCATTCTCTGCTATCATTTACCTTTAAAACAAGTATAGAAACTGAAAAACAGTCAGACTCAAAATACAAGTCTGAACTACTAAGTCCAATAGTAGTAAAGTGAAATACAGCACCAGCCTTGTCATTAATTATAATTATATGAATATACTATGCTCCCTTTTTCTCCACCCAAAATATGTTTAATGAGGTACAATTTTGTACAAATTATATTCATGTAATTTTCAAGAGTTCATTTTCATATGTTTTGTATAAGTGTGTCATATTAATGATTTTATGTGCTTGTAATTTCAGTTTCTCCAGCAAGAATTTGTTGTTGTTTTGTTGTTTGTTTTTTGTGTTTGTTTGTGAGGAAGAGTATAAAGAAACAGCAAGGAGTGAGCCATCCTCCCACGTAATTGTTGTAGAATCAGAGATATCAGTAAAACCCGAGGCAAACAAACAAACAGAAGAGATAGAGGAAGGTCGCGCAGGCAGAATAGAAAGCGCTCGAGAGGACGGAATGCGCGGGAGAGTGGCAGTTGAAACCGTTAGAAGGAGCTGAGGCAGGAGCAAGGAAGGTGTACCGAGAGAGGGAGCAGTTAGATATATTTCTGACTACCGAAGAGGGAGCGATCTCTAGAGAAACTGAGAAAGTGACCGTATTTAAAGAAAGCGAGTCAGGAGGATCAGTTAGAGATGCCCAAGCCTTTTCGTTGTGAAGAGGTTTGCTCACGATCCGACAGAAGGGGAAGCTGAAGACTGTGGAGCCAGCAAAGTGAGACCATTCCCGGTCTCAGTCCCGAAGAATGGACCGTGTCGGTTTATCCGAAGAAGCATGGTCCTGCTCGAATGGTACACCATGTGCCCCCAGAAGTAGAGAAAAAAGCCTTGAGAGAGGGGGAGTGGGCCCACCATCCCTGTTGCGGGACTCTCTGTGCAGTTTGCAACAACTTTCTGAGATTACCGACGGAAGAAGAGGAGAAAACAACAACTTAAGGGTTAAATGAAGAAAAATCCCTGTTGTGGTTTTGGGAGAATTTCCCTCCCCAGTTATCTGTTCATGGTTCCAATGTTAATAGCAAAGATGTTACAAATAGTTTTGTTAATAAAAATTCTTTATTGAACACTTCAGAATCTTCTCTTGTGTCTCCGAGTAAGGAAATGCCCACAGGTAACAGAGAACCCACTCACATTGTTATTGTTGTTATACATTTGTATGGAATCATTCCAATAAAATATTATAATAGGAGTGTGTGCACTAACAGATTATTTCTCCCTTCTCTCCAAATTTGAAGACCCCTCATGAGAAATGTTAAATAAATAATTTTAATTTTGGGTTTTACATCTTGAGTTAAATCTTGGTAGTCCACAGCTGTAAAAGATATTTAAAGGGGGCCCATGGTAAATAAAAGGTTAACAATTGCTGATCTATACAAACAGTTGTAAAACAACCAAAGAGATGCTAGAAGCACTTGAGAGAACCTATGGTTTTTCCAACTCTAAATCATAGCCACTTTTTATTAGGGAATGTGTACGGTTCTATCTTAACAACAAAAAACAAAAAAGATTATGAAAAGCACATTTTTGTTCTATTAAATGTGTTTGACAATTTAAGTTTAACTAGCTTTGAATTGACTGATAGACAGAAAATGGGATTACTCACTGAGTGAATGTTTCAGTACCTTTGTATCTATCTTGTATAGCCAGCAGCTAAGTTTCCAAGATGTTTGCATTGTCTGAGGGACGAGTGTATAGCCCAAAAATGTTTTCATGAGTTTTCAACTGTAACTAAAATTTCACACTGAATGGGAAAGGCAATAGGAGGGACATGCCTCACAGACAATCACACAGTTTCTGGAACTCTGGGAATGTGGGTCACATGACAAAGGATTGTCCATTTCAAAGAGAATCTTCAACCAACAGAAGCTCTACTAATTTTAAATTAAAAGAACAGAGGAACTGCAGACAAAATTTGAAGCCTGACTCTAACAGAGAGACAAAAGGAAAGACTGTAAAGGCAATAATGGCTCATGTCATAATTGTGAACAGAAATCAAATTACTGGATCATTGACTCGGGGTGTATCAGTCACTGTACACATAAAAAAGATTTATTTATAAATCTAGATGAAAGAGAGGAAATATTCAAGTTACTAACGGTGATCCCATAAACATTGAAGGAAAAGTGACTTGCATTTTGGAATGTGAACTGCCTGATGAAATAAGTGAATATAACATAAGCTAGTTTGTTCCTGAACTAAAATGTAACATATGAAGTCCATCAGTTTTTTTTAATGATAAAGGCTTTTCTATACATTTTGCAAATAGACAGTGTCCAGTATTGAAAGATAGTGAAATATATTTTCAGACACTTCTTAAACCTAATGATGTCGATAAATGGAGTCTTTTACATGAACAGCAACAGATTAACATAGTGCAAAATTAGAAAGCAACAAGAAAAATACGTCTGTAATTTTTAGCAACTGTATGTAAGGAAAGGGTTTTAAAAAAATTCCTTCACCCACAAATGTCTCAAGAGTGAGTTATTGGGTCTTTAAGAGCCAGTTAATGAGAAAGGGATGGACCCTGCGGAACATGTAGCTATTCTCCTCGGCGAGTCTACATAGGATCGTAAAATAGGAATTCCACCAGAAATTCAAAACTCTTCTACAGCATCTGACTTTCGATGCCCCTAACAGCATTTCAAAAGTATGTGAAATATTTAAAGAGCGGTTTTACCAGGGGCGGGCGGTGGGACTGAAACCAATTGTCCTGATGCACGCACCCGTTAGGGGATATAGCTTTATTGAACCAGTAAAAAAAAAAAAGCCACACAAACTGCCAGCTTTCCCAAGTAAACAGTACAGCAGCTCTGCACCCGTCGAAGCAAATTGCGGCCAACGCCCAGACTTAAGCAGAACAAATCCCCCCCCCGCGCGCGCGCGCCTTTCTCCGCCTCTCCTCCGGCCCGGCTCGTCCCCTTTAAGAGGAGGCCACACACACCCAGGATGCCTCAGTACGTATTGCTCGGGCTGTCCCTACCGAGGCGAGTTTCGTGCTGGAAGGAGCCGGCTGCGTAGGCAGGCAGGCAGGCAAGGCAGGCGGGCGCCCAGCATGGAAGGCGATGGCCCGGACGCTTACAAGGCGTTCGTGGCCCTGCACGGGCCGGCCCTCAGCGCTTCAGGAGTCCCATCCCGCTACTGGCAGAGCCTGTGGCACAAACTGGAAAATGAGGTGAGGCTCCGGCCTGGCGGGTCGTTTTCTGGCTCCTTCGGGAAGGTACGACGGGGTGGCGCGGCTCTGGCGGTGGCGCCTCCTCCTCTTCCTCGGGGATCTTCCCGACTCCTTGCCGGAGGCGCTGCCAGCGCGTGGGCTGTGTGGGGCAAGAGCTCCTTTCCAGGCTCCCCGAGTCGCCCCCGCGCTGCTTGCTGACTGGGGGTGGGTTGAGGAAGGGGCTTTGCTCGCGAGTAAATGCGCCCAAGCGCGTTCCGAGCCTGGCCCTGGTCGGGGTTGCGGGTAAAGCGAGTTCCGCCGAGTGAACGAGGAGGGGGGCTCTTTTACGCCTCGGCGCGATCCCGCTTTTACGCCGCCGATGGAATCACAACTCCCGGGAGGGTAAACTCTTTCGAATCCACTTCACAGGAATGATTTCGTTTTGTTTAGTCCCCCTCTGTTTTTCCGTCGGTGGGTTTCCCGTCCTGGTGGTGGTGCAGGATGAGATGAACTGGTTCCAGCCTTGAGGAAAGAAATCTCGTTTCTTTAACATCAGTTACTTCCCAACAGAGGTTGTTGAGGATCGACGCCTTTGTGGACTAGAATCATAGGGAGGCTTCTGGAAGAGGAAACCTTGGCCACTATTAAACCACCACCACCCGCCTCAAGCCCGTGTGATTTCAGACCATCTTGTTTTCCCGTTACAGTGGTTGGTTGGTTGGTTAGGTCTTTTAAGAAAAATACTCTGGAGAAAGGAGAAAAATACTGTACTGCTAAGAAAAGGAGAAGGAAAGGCGCCCAGAGTTAGAAAGTTTAAATGGTGGTTAGGATTATGTTGCCTTGAAGCAATTATTTGCTACACTTGGCCATGAACTTTTGTTATGTTTATATTTTCTCTGGGTTAATTGGATGTGATTAATTAAAAGCTCAGCAACCCTGCCTATAAGTGAAAGTTTTGGGTGTGTTTGGTTGGTTGGTTGGTTAGTTAAAAATGCCTTGAAAATGAAGGGAGGTCAGGAAATGTAGTAATTCAAGAAAAGCTGTAATAAATATTTTAAACACTATCCCTCTACAAAACTGAAGGTAGGAGAAAAGTCATGTCTGTGGTTTACAGATACTGTACATTGAGTGGTTGTTTCTGGGATTGTTAATTTTTTTTTTTTTTGGCACATTCCCTACTGTGCATTGCAAACAATAGTAAGTTGTATATTGCTGTAATTGTCACTATCTACCATTTTGACGCAAGTATGTGTCTTTTTTATATCAAGAATTTAAAGTTTTATTGTAGTTGATGGCATCTGATCATCTGGTAGGTTGGAATCAAAACCATGGACAGAGTTGTGCTATGCAGCTAATTGAGAAGGTTCTAGAGTGTGCATCTTCATTGCACAATGGGCACATGACCCAACTATGTCCCAGGATATTATCAGTTATTGACAATTAGCTGTGAATAATTATGCAGACCAAAGAATATTCTGGCCCAAAGTCTGAAGTGGTTTTGCAGGCTGTGGCTTGTCAGACAGCTGTTTATGTGGTGTATGCTTAGGAACAGAAATTATTTCAGATTAAATCACTTGACAAGTCTGTTTTAAAAAAATTCTTGTGTATTACATATCTAATAGATGCTTTGTAAATTATATCCCTAATTACTTGGAAATTGACATGTGTTCTTGGGTTATTATGGTGAGATGAGCTTTTCAAAGACGAGGACTAAGCAATTACGAATTATTTTATTTATTTATTTATTTATTTATTTTATTTTATTTATATCCCGCCCATCTGGTCAAATAGACCACTCTGAGCGGCTTCCAATAAAAAGGAACATATACAATAAATAATAAAGATATTACAGACAGACTGTGACATAGATGAGAATAAAGGAATAATAAATAAAGAAAAGAAATTGGGTGTTGACAGGAGGGAAGGCCTGGACATACAACCATGTTTTTAATTGGCTTTTAAAAGTGCCCAGCGTAGGGGCCGCACAAATCGCCAGAGGAAGGTTATTCCAGAGGCGAGGAGCCACCGCCGAGAAGGCCCTATTTCGTGTTCATTCATTCCGGGCCTCCCTTGGTGTTAGGCTCCTCGGCCTCACCTCCTGGCTCGAGCGGGTGATCCAGGCAGATCTAGGTGGGAGCAGGCGTTCCGCCAAGTATCAAGGTCCTAAACCGTTTAGGGCCTTATATGTAAGCATTAACACTTTGAAGTTGATGCGGAAATGGATGGGCAGCCAATGCAGCACGGCCAGAGTAGGAGAGATGTGTTGGTGTTTTCTCACTCCCGTGAGGAGTCTGGCTGCCGCATTCTGCACCACCTGGAGTTTCTGCGTCAGCTTCAAAGGGAGCCCCACATAGAGTGTGTTACAGTGGTCTAATCTGGAGATTACAAGTGCATGTACTAAGGTAGTGAGCGCCCCCGTGTCTAGGTAAGGATGCAGCCGGGCAATCCGCCAAAGGTGGAAAAAGGCGATGCGGACCACGGATGCCACCTGCGTTTCCATGGTGAGCGTCGGGTCCAGATGTACCCCCATCTTGTCCGGGTTCAGCCGCAGCCCGTTCTCCTGCATCCACTTCAGTACGGCCTCCAAATGTGGTCAATACTGGTAATGTAAACTATATTCAGCATCTGTTTCAAACTCTTTATGATGGTCCAAAGCATTCATATCGCCTACTGATGACAGGGAAGTACCTGATATTGACAGAGCATTTCTCCAGTTCTTTTTCCCATATTTATAATTACAGCATAGCTTACCTTGTCTGTCAACAGTTTACACATCATCAGGTTTAACTGACTCTGACATTTCTGCATTAGCCTTTGCATTTTGACATGCTTATCTTTCTCTCAATTTAAATCCTCATCAATGCATTTACTGTGACTGAGAGTGGTCTGTAACAAGACAGGTGCCAAGCGCATTGAGTTGATTGACCCTTTCCTAACCAGTACACTGAGGAGTTAGTGTAATAAGAACTGAAACATAAGTCTGCCAGAATGACAACAACTTTCTAAAATGGATTGTAACTGGGTTACTCTTAATCTGTTGAGCAACAATTAGCTCTCAAAGCTGCAACAGCTGCATGACGCTGAGGCTTTCCAGATGCAAGCAATGGAATTAAATCAAGAGCTAATTCAATTGGAAAATTGGGTGTAATTATGGAAAATGCAGAGTCTGTTAGGCTCCTTGTGAGGTCCCGGCAGATGGCCTCCTCTTTAGATTTTAAAAAGGCTGCAAACTGGTCGGGTGAAAAACTAGGGGGAGGCCTGTCACCCAGGCCAGTTCCGGTTAGGTCGCGCGCTATATGGAACTCCGCTCGACTCACCGTATTCAAAAAAGGAGAGAGGTCCCGGCAGATGGCCTCCTCTTTAGATTTTAAAAAGGCTGCAAACTGGTCGGGTGAAAAACTAGGGGGAGGCCTGTCACCCAGGCCAGTTCCGGATAGGTCGCGCACTATATGGAATAACTCCGCCTGCTGGTTGGACGCTTTGCTTATCCAGTTACCGAAGTAAGTTTGATAAGCAGCCTTTACCCTAGACAGGTAAAGGTTAGTTGCGACCCTGACAGCTATCCAATTATAGTCCGTCGGGTTCTTCCTCCACCTACGCTCTAGCCTTCTCCTATGTTGCTTCAGCTCTCGGAGCTGCTGGTTGAACCAGGGTGCTGACCGAGCTTTACTACGGAGAGGGCGTTTAGGCGCGATCCTGTCTATAGCCCCGGTTGCGAAGGTGGACCAGGTGTCAACCAGAGCCTCGACAGGAGCGCTAGCCAGGTCAGGCGTAACACCTCTCATGGCGTCCTGGAATCCAGCAGGATCCAGTAGCCTTCGAGGGCGGACCATAACAATAGGTCCCTGCTCCCTGCGAGGGGGGGAGAGCCACTGTGAGGTTACATTTTATCAGGTGGTGATCTGACCATGACAAGGGGACCGACACTAGGTCAGCCACCATCAGACCACACTCGCTGCAACTGGTGGAAAAATCCAGGTCCAATATGTGGCCACCCACGTGAGTGGGACCATTGACATGTTGGGACATTAACCCCAAAATACTAACATGTTTCACAGGGAGGTCACAGACTTCTCTTTAAAAATGTGTATGAGATTGTCATACACAAGTTATGCCTGACTAGCATATATGTTTTCCTCCCCTGTAGTATGACTTATTGTAAAACTGTGACTTGCATGCACTGTATGCCATGGAGCTGCTTTTATTTGTAGAAGGGAAGAAGAGAGAATCTTGACATTGCAGGCCCTTGTGTACCCCAAAAAACCTGCTGCTCCCAAAGAGGGATCCCAGCAGCATGCAGAGCCTGGTAAGTCGACCAGGCAGCCTGTGGGAAGAGAGATGGAACTCAGTAATTTGATCTCACTCAGTGTCTTGCTTTGGAGCAGTTAAAAATGCATGTCTTTAACTGGTGGTAGATCTGATTCTGGTTGTGCAGGTATGGTTTCTGAATGTGACTCTTAATATAAGAGTACACATGGTTTTTGTTTGCTTTTGTGGGTTTTGGCTTATACAGAGATTATAGTTTTTGAAACAGCTTGTGGGAAAACAATTAACTGCATTTGCTTATTTTTTTGGGTTGCTTTGTGTGTTGTCAATTGGAAACGGACTTACAGTGACCCTAATAGTTTTTTCAGGGTGAAATATTTAATGAGTGGCATTACCATCTCCACCCCTCCCCACTGAGTTTCCGTGGCTAAGCAGGGATTTGAATCCAGGTCTCCTGAGGCTTAGTCTAACCACTACACCACACTGGCTATCATGGCTTATTGTAGCACTAAAATAATAAATAATCATGTGGCACCTTCAAGACCATCTGCACATTCATCTTCCAGCACTATAGACCACTTCATCAGATACATGAAGCACTACTCTGAATTATATTAATATCTCTGTGATTGTTCACAGAACTGTTACTGAGCAGATTAATACGATGACACTACCATGTGTCCTTCCTCTCTCTTTTTCTTAGTTTGTATGTGTAGGCTAGTCTTGCTGTACATACTTCCTGTTTTCTCCTGTTT